GGACCTGGGATCTAAGGAAGAGAGAGAGAGCCAAACTTTTTCCAAAATTAACTATTTTAGAAATTCTTCCTTAACAGTAGCTAATAAATAGATAAATAAATAATTTGCGTATGTAACTAAGTACATAGCTGACTAAATAAATAAAATATATGTCAGTACTTTTATAGGAGCCGCTTTGTAAATAAGTAAAAAGTGAATGTGCAAAGAGCTAAGTAAATAGTGAAGTAAATATTTAGATAAATGAATAAATAAAGATCAGTTGAGTGAATTTATAAAAATTGTTTTAAATGATAATTTAATGTACTACTGCGGGGGGCGGTCTAAGTCCTGGACCCCGGGATAATTTTGCTAACCTCTGCGAGTTTAGCAACTTTCTTCTCAGCAATGTCTTCATCCAGTGATCATGCCTTTACTCTTTTCACAACTTTCCTTCTTAATTGCCTCCTTTCAACCTGTCACAGCATCCGAGTCACGTGACACCCTCGATTTCGTTTGCGCAACGCTCCTCCTTTTGTTTCTCATTTCAGCGTGGTCATTTCCGCGTGCACGCTTCGCTTGAGCTTCAAAGGTGGTGGGGGGCAGGCTCTGACGTCACGTCAGCTCGCCGACCTGCCGGACGCGCACATCCTCGCGCATCAAGACGCACGCAGCTCTCAATCAGAGGGAGCCCCGCGCGCTACTAACGATGAGGTTCACCGACCCGCACGCGCTTCGTTTGGAATGAGAGGGTGTAGAACTGCTGGCGATGAACGCAGGAAGTGAGCGCGCGCCGCGACGTTGCCGCACTTTCCCAAATTGAGAGAGGGAGAGAGAGAGAGAGACGGAGAGAGAGAGAGAGTTGAAGCGCGGCAGAGAGGGGCTGCAGAACACACAGGGTCTGGGTGAATGCATAACCATGGCAACAGCAGCAGCAGCAGCATCAGAAGCACGAGAAGCGGGGATATAAACATTGCACCCATCCGTCCGCCCGCAAACAGACCGATTTTTACTCCGTTTAAGGATCGGAGCTGGAGCCGAATCCTCTGCGGACATCACACCACATCGCTGCTAAGGTGAGGCTGCCTCTTTCTCTGTGACACCCTCGTCCTCTTCTCGCTGCTCTTCCTCCTGCCCTTGCAGGATGCTTCTTGCCTGGACGTTTAGGGAACGTGTTTCATTGTCAAAACGAAGGGAGATGCTATGGGATATATATGCGTAAGTTTGAAAGTACAAGCTGTGTTATTGAGGTGATAAAGTGCAGCAAGGGACTGTAATTTGATTCATCGTTTAGCTTGTAAAGAAGTGAAAGTATCGGTCAGAGTTCAGCATGGTGGGTGTGCTGTCCACTTTGACTTTCTCCCTCTGATGCTGTCACATAAAACAGAACCTTGGTGTCTACTGCAAACAAAGACAAAGGTCATGAGCTGTGTCTTTGTTCCAGTCTGTCAACACAGCCGAAGACGGGCTGATTCCTGTTAAAGGACAAGCCAGACCTTTCTGGGAACTCAGTCAAAGTCAGGTTAGATATCACTTGTCTCCTACAGAATATGTCTTGGTCAATTTGTCTATTCTTTGTCTGTTTTGCTCTACTTAAAAAATAAAATAAAATAAAGATAATATCTCCTCTCTGTAAACATGGTTCTAATTACATCACAAAAGGCAACTAATCAGAATTCATATAAGTATGATGTTTTGTATTTTTCTTGTTTCTCTTTCCTTTCAGGTACTTACAATCAAATTGCTCCTTTTCCAAATTACTTGTAGCCTGGCAAAGCTGGTCAGCTGGATGAAGGAAGGCATTCCGAGTTTGATACTCAAGACCTTGACAATTCCATGCTGTTCTGCCCTCTAAGTCTTAAGATTACTTTGAACTCAGGCTCAACGGTGGAATAGATGGTAGCACTGTTGCCTTGAAGCAAGAAGGTCCTGGGTTCAAAACCTCACCTGGGGGTTTTCCACATTGAGTTTGCATGTTCTCTGTGTGTCCATGGGTTCTTTCCCATTTTCCCACAGTCCAAAACAAAATCATGACTATTAGGTTAACTGGTTTATCCATTTGTTGTGTGTTTCTGTTGGTCCATCATTGCTCTGCTGGGTGGGTGATAGTGGTTTTCCATTAGTAAAAGGTTTTCCACCAGTAATGGTTAAATGTCACCAGCCTATTTTTTTTAGTGCTTACTTTGCTGGGGTTTCAAATGTGCTGAGTCAGGCTGGAAACACAACGTCAGAAGACTGGTGCTCTTTGAATTAGCAACGTGTCCAGGGTGTACCCTGCCTCTCGCCCAATTACATAGGTGATAGGCGCACTAGGACACATGTGAGCCTTTTGGGTTAAATGGGCACAAGCCAGGGCAAAGCTTTAAAACAATAACTGTATCTATCACGATAAGTGATCAGTTATCAATTAAAAATGTGTCAGGTTGAATTTTGATCATTTCACTGAATCCTGATCCTGAACTGCATGGCATTCTAGGGGATGTAGACAGAGGAAAAATATCAACATCAAAGTCTCAATCTCTCATGGAACAGCTAAGAAAGGTTGGAGGATTCAGCTAACTCACTTATTCTTTAGCTAGCATGTGAAAATTTGTTCTCTAAAATATGCAGTTGCAGTTTCATGTTGCCCCAACATTTTCAGGTGTACTTCCCTCCTTGGAGATCCATGCGTACCCCAGGTGGACATCCGCCATACACGTCCGTACAAAGGACAGTTTTTGTGACTGTGGACATGTACTCTGTAACGCACTGACTTCAACAGATGGAAGGCACTTTGAGTTTTTTTCTTGCGACACTGAGCTGATAATGTTGAGAATCAACACAATCAGTCTCAAGACTGCGTAGTGTGACTGCCGCTCTCTATGCTCTCTATGCTGACAGTTGTTCAGTGGCTACCTTGATGTTAAAGAAACGGGGTTTATTGCCAAACTTTCTCATCAAACTTCCTAGTATACATTCAGATTGTGGGAAATGGACTAATTTGTCATGGGAAATTTAGCCAATCAGTACACTTGACTGTGAACTATCAACTGTCTTCAGATGCACGCTGAGTCTTTGCAGTTCACAGGAGTAAAAGGAGAAAATGAGAACAATATCTCAAGAGGAAGTTGTGGATAAAAGAGGAAAGGTTACATCACTTGGTTCGTAGAATCTTGGATATTTAAGACAAAAGACAAACAAAAGACTAATCAATAATTATGGATATCAATAGTTTTGAAGTGCTTATATCGTGATACGTTTTTCTGCCATATCGCTCATCAAAGACAATGGATGGATCAATTTTTAGGTCCCAATAATAATTCCTGCAGAACTGCTGCATCAACCACTACTTCCAGTGTAACCAGTCAGACTTAATGATTCCAGTCCAACCAGTTAGTAAGGAAATACATTGGATTGCCTGACATCCAGAAAGATAGAAGTTCAGAAGTTCCTTGCTAACGCATTATGATTTCAGACTGCACAAAGCACCAGTGTAATAGGAAATCATATAGCCATTTGAGGTGATGCAAGCAGATTACAGTATTTACTAGTGGGGCACCAATCTGGTGTTGAGCAGAGAAAAAAAGCTCCAAGTATTTCCAGCATCTCTGTTCAACTCCAAATCCAACTCAGATGGCCGAAGTCACTCTGCCGCCATACTGTTTACTAAAACAAGCTAATCTTGGGACGTCATCAGCTGAAATGCAAACAAGGCAGACTTTGCTGGGGATTTTTGGCAGTCCTTTAAAAGAGCATTGGAGCGGTGTAATGTTGACTTTTTTTTGTTGTTGAGCATTATGCTGAATCACTATAAAGCAGGTAATGTAATAAAGAAAAAAAAGCTTCTTGGAAGAGTGCACACAGATGGAAGACACTTAGATTTTTTTTTCTTGCACAAATAAGTTCCCGGTGACTCAGAATTGTGAAAACAAACGGCGATCACATGCAGCTCTCCAGGGAACACAACAGGCCTCTGAGCTAACAAATGTAGCTCTCTATTTTTACAAAGCCCCTCTTTTTTCTTTTTTTCTTTTTGTTGTTGCATGATAAACTCTTTTTATCACGTTTTAATTTCTAGTGGAGACCGTAAAGACCCGGGTCACATCCTCCTCCAACTCGACCTCTCAATTCAACTCCAGCCCAGCTCCGGTCGCGGGGATTTGGTTGTAATTTACCAACACACAGCATAACACACCGCAGAGGATTTCAGAAAGTGCTAGATTATGCCATCACATGATTGCAGAGGCCAGGCTCACGAGGTTTCTGTTGAGGCCTCTCTCTCTTTCTTTTTTTCTCTCTCTCTCCGCTTCCAGCAAATCCTCTGTCGGTCTCCTCCTCGTCGCGTTAAAATTAAACGGAGAAAATGTGGAAAAAAAAAAGCTCGTTTTGAGAGAGGAGCCGGTCGCCTCTGCCGATCCGTGCTATTTTTAGTGACGGCCCTCTGTCTGTTTAGGCGTGCTGGCAGAGGGTGTTGGACGTTAATGAATGGATTAATGCTGCCGCAGATTAATTTCTGGCCCCTCTGAGCTGTGTTCACGTTCGGCTGCTTCAAGTGATAATGGCTGCAAAATGTAGCTGTTCCCCATGTTCGACCGCTGAAAACACACATCACATCTCCATCCTTCAGCGCGTCCAGACATTTCCAGCTTAGCCGATGCCACCGTTGGAGGTGGAGGGCAGATTGAGGGCAGCCAGAATTGTTTCTTTGTTTTATTTATTTATTTGTTTACTTCCACTAAGGTGGTGGAATTAAGAGTTGCTGCGACCTCGAGACCCACAGGAATGCCAGCGTGTCTGCGGCCGTGTGTGTCTGTGTGTGTGGCATGCGTTAAAAAGTAATCAGACACCAGATGGCTGTTTTGTAATGATTACTGTTTAATGATTTGCTGCGAGGAGAAGAAAAACAGAAAGACTGAGCTTTTAAAAGTGCACAAAAAGCAGAATGGGAGCATTAGTCAGGATGCAGGTTGTGCAGATTTTGTGTTGTAGCTACAAAACAACTTGGATTTCTGTAGAAAGGGTTGCTCATGCTCAAGTTGAGAGGGATTTTATGGGACAGCATGCTGCTGAAGCAGGTCTCAGATTTATGATAGAAGTAGTATTACATTATTAGTATTCATTAGAGATGAAACGATCCTCTAAAAGGTTCCTATCTCAACCTGAAATCTAAATGTAGATACCTGCCAGTACTGACGCTTTCAGATGTTTAGCGCAAATGTTGTTCTTGTGATGCAAAAATGTTATTTAAAAATACTCACACAAGGGCACTATCTCTACCATTGATACTGGTACATTCAATAAGAACTGGCACTCTTGTTGGAACTTTAATACATAAATTTTGATTAATTAATTACATAGATAATAACGTGTTAAAATTTTATTCGGTTTTTTATCTTTTCACATACAAGGGTTCCGATCAGAACTTTTGTGTTACCGTGTTTCTGATACTCCCGTAAATCTGACACACAAGTAGCATCCACTAACAACCATGATGGACGACAGAGCCGCTTCTCTTGGCCCACTGGGGTTCATTTTTGATTCATAAACAAACTGATAGGACATTGGAAAGGACTACTGTTGTGTGAACACTGTGCTAAAGGAGTTAGCCTATCTTCAAAGCTATTCAACCCGTTTCAGCGTAAAGGCATTTAGTTAGGCTGTGATCAGTCAATTAAATACAATCCAGATTCATTAGAAAATGTAAAGCTCTAAGTCTAGTGACATTATGTTCACAGTAATTATGACGCCACCGTATTTCATCAGTTGGGGTGGCGGGTTCAGGTTCAGTGCAGTTAGCCACATCTCATCAAAAAGTTTCATTTTGGTTTCACTAAACCATAACACTTTCTACTACAGGTTTATTATTTCCATACAAACTGCTAATGACATTTCTTTGTTTTCTTTTCCCCCCCATAATTTGTGCAGTGCAGAACTGACAGTGATCCTGTTAACAGATTCCATCTCCAGAGCTCCCTAAGAATTACTATAGGTCTTTATGTTTGGATTTCTGGATTTTATTTGGTGGTTCTAGAGTCAAAGGTACACATACCTCACGTAGTGGGGAGTGAAAACTTTTTAAAGACACAATTCGTGCAAA